GCTCCTGGATGGCCCTATTATTTGAGCCATGACTTCAGTCTAGCATTTTGGTGGCTAATTAGAGATGGAGTCTTGTGGACTTTTCTGCTTAGGCTGGCTTCAAATTGTGATCTTTCTGATCTCAGCCCTCAGTACAGCTAGAGTTACAGGCATGAGTAATTAAAAATGTCATTTTGTGGAAGTAGCACTATGGCTCAAAGTGGAGGAGAACTAGCCTTGAGCAAAAGAGTTTAGGGAAGCTAGGCATTGGTGGCTCATATCTGTAATCCTAGCTACTCAGGAGGCTGAGATCTGAGGATGGTGGCTCCAAGCTGGCCCAGGCAGGAAAGTCTGAGAGACTCTTATCTCCAGTTAACTACCAGAAAACTGGAAGTGGAGCTGTGGCTCAAGTGGTAGAGGGCTAGCCTTCAGTGGAAGAGCTCAGGGACAGCACCCAGACCCAGAGTTCAAGCCCACAGAAAAAGAAAAGAAGAAGAGTTCAGGCCCCACAACTGACAGAAAAAAAAGAAGAAAAAGAAAAACATCCTAATATATAATTATAGGGAAAGTAATAGAAAAATATTGTGAATATTAATTTTAATTAAATAATTCTTGCTTTCTTACTAGCATTCTCTTGACCATAAGAAGATTGATTATACTTATATACATACTATTTTTTACATATTTGATTTTTATCCAGGATGTTATTTTCAGAACTACATTTGGGTAAAACCAGAAAAATCAGGCCTTTGCAGGTATGGTTTCGTGTTTGTGTGTGTGTGTGTGTGTGTGTGTGTGTGTGTGTGTGTGTGTGTGTGTGTGTATGTGTATGTGTATGTGTGTGTGTGTGTGTGTGTGTGTGTATCCAGGTATGGTTTCATTTATATATATATATATGTATGTATGGGTATATATATATATATATATATATATATATATATATATGTAGATAGATAGATATGTATGTATCCAAAACTTATACTTTTCAATCAAAAGTGAGGGCTTCTCCAGCTCTATTTCCTCTTGATTCTCCTAGTTCCTGATACCTGCTCATAAGATACTTTTCTGTTCATCGTTTCCCAGCAGAAATTGACAAAAAGGTTTCTGTGTCAGGTACAAGTAATGTATTTGATGGGACAAATGACTTCAAGAAGGCTGAGGAGTTCAAACATAATTTCATATTCTTCCAATTTATTTTAAGCAGGACATATGACCTTACAGGAGACTAGCTTTGTTTTGTATATTCTATATTATTTATACACAGGAAATATTTCCCTCACTGCCAGCTCTGACTTAAGGAATATCAGGAATGTAGGCGAAAGGAAACAGTAAACCACTCTTCCTCTCTGGTCACAGTAACCAATACAATATAATTGTATGTTCCCCTGAAAAAATCCTGTAATTCGATCTAAGAAACTTTAAAGGTAAAATTCATACCATAGCAGTCACAAAATATTAAGGATTTATTATGACAAGCTAACTATGTGTGTTGAGTGGGGAAGAAAAATGAAAGTCAAGAAGATTTAGATTATTTCATTTCTTTCCAAGTCTCCCCTCATCCTCCCTCCACCCCCCTCAGTCCTGGGGCTTGAACTCAGAGCCTGGGCACTCTTCCTAAATTTCTTTTGCTCAAGGCTAGCACTCTACCACTGGAGCCACAGCACCACCTCCAGCTTTTTCTGTTTATATGGTACAGAGGAATCGAACCCAGGGCTTCATGCATGCTAGGCAAGCATTCTACCACTAAGCCACATTCCCAGCCCTTTCTCTACCTTCTCTAAACCCTGTCTATCCTTTCTCAGGTATATCTCACCTGCAACGCCAATCTGTGCTTACCTCCCATGAATGACCAATTACTCCTTGTCTCAGCTGCATCATGTCATATCAGCTCAAGAATCTATAGTTGGGTGGCAGGAGCAGGCTCTCCTAACTTCCATGTGGTCCCATGTCACATGATCCAGCAAGTGTTAGGCAGTGAAAGTGAGAAATTTATGTGCTCATCCAAAATCTTGTTCAGTGACTACTGTGTTCTGATGACTATGGACTGAAGGTTAATAAAGTATGAGCTTTGTTCAAGCAGCTACCATCCAGTCTACAGGAAACCATTATGCCCTGTGCTCAGTATCCCTCCCACCTTCACGGGATCTTGCTGTACTGATCTCAATAATTTTTACTGTCTGTCTGTCTGACTGACTGACTCGGGCCATTCTCCTCATTACAAGCACATGCTTTAACATTTCCCATTCTTAAAACCAACAAGAATCCCCCTAGTCACCTTCCATTTACCAATGGACACATAGCAGAAACTTAGTAAATACTCGTTGAATGTGTAAACACAAAAACAAATCATGATAATGCAATGCAATGTGTGCCAGGACAAGAAGTGGTCAAAGGGCTCTACGGGCACATGAACCACAAGACTTTTCACAGACAAGAGGATACCTGAGCTGTGTCTTGGATAAAGGGTTTGTCATGATTTGGAGCTCATATATAGGTGTTAAAAATAGAAAAGATTAATTGTGCTGTTCAATAGGTCTTCTGTGCCTTACAACTTAAATTTTATCAGGAAGCCTAGCTATTATTCAACTGATACTACGTCAACAAAAGAAAGATAATGGGTGACAGTATAAAGGATCAGTCTCATGGAGAAGAACTAGAGTTAAAGAGACTCATCAGAAAATTGTTGCCCTAGAGAAAGTGAGACTCTGAACTACAGCAGTGAAAGTGATAAGCAAGATAAAATGCCAGACCAAGTGATATAAAGATAATAGGAAAAGAGCATAGCAGCCAATCAAATGTGAGTAATGACTAAGAGATCGATAAGAATCAGTTCTTATCTCATGAGACTATGTGAAGAGCAAAGCCATTCCCTCAGAAAGACTATAAAACATAAGCAGATTTTGAGGGGAGTTCAGTTTGGGACCTACTGATGATGAGCTGTTTAGGGACATCCTTGCAAAGATGCCCAACAAGTAGACCAAAGGTAGAAGTGGAGATCTGTGGAATTGAGCAACCAAACACATATGGAGCAACTGCTTCTCAAGAAATGGAGACAACTGTTTAATACTTGTTTCATATTAGTTACCTGAATTTTTTACACAAAGTTGCATGGAAATTGGATGACTGGGAACACTATCATAGTAAATGTTCTCTCAGAAGAAAAAATATTATGTGTATCAAAACAAAAATAATACAAACTGGCACTCCTTCCTCCACACGTTGCTAAGCCATTAAACACATAAATCTTCCTTTTAAAGAAAATAAAGTTGGGCAGAGTAGAGCAGGCCTATAATCTCAGCATTTGGGGAAGCTCAGGCAAGACTTTGGGTTTGAGGCTACCATGGATTACAGAGAAATACTCACCCATTACAGAGAAAGACTAATTCATTACAAAGATTCTGTCTCAGAAAGAAAGATATTGCTCTAAAGTGTCCCTTAAAGTTCAGATATAAGACCTTACTAAATAAGGCTGTGCTTAAGGATTTTCTTATTTTCATCAGTGTTCATTTGGAATGAAAGGAGAACATGTGACTGGAGACAGTCATATGACTAGAAAATAGTTTCACAGGAAGTGAGTTGTAGTTACTGTGAACTGACCATTATCTAGATAGCCCTCTACTGACTTTAAGGATGATGTGGAAACCTTTCCTAAGGAAGATTTACTTCTGTGTATTCCCCATTGCCAACACTGATTATTCCTCTACCCCCACAGGCCTGCAAGGCACCTCCTAGCACACATGTGTGTGACTAGAGATCAGTAAGACCAGAAATTCTAGCCAGGCAGGAGCCGAGGACTGGCCTGGCTCACCCCTTCCACCTCACAAAACCTCAAAACCTAGCCATGCTGGCACTCAGACTCATGCTTCAGAAAGGAGGAACCCCCAGAAATTTCATGCAAGGCCAGCCTCTCCCTTCTGTTATGCTCACTTCTTTGGAGGGGAGAAAACAGACAACAAAGTGGAGAGCTCTGAACAGAGCCAAGCAGATCTCCTGAAGATAGAGGTTGAAAGGGAGTTCTGAACCCCACTGAGTCCCCTTCCATTACCCCAATGGTTTGAAAGACACTTTATCGGGAAATGTACTATAACTATAAACAGCTCCCAAAAGTCCCCTCCCACCACTCTCCAACTGTAAACTCTATTATTCAAGACTTGAAACAATTAACAAAAAAGTAGTGCTAAGAAAGAGCATGTATCAACAAAAATTACCAATGTCTACTAGGCATTTGTGGCTCATGCCTATAATCCTAGCTACTCAGGAGGGTGAGATCTGAGTATCTCAGTTCAAAGCCAGACCAGGCAGAAAAGTCCATGAGATTCTTATCATCAATTATCTAGCAAAAAGCCAGGAGTAGAAGTATGAGTCAAGTGGTAGAACATCAGCCTTGAGCAGGAAAAGAAAGCATGAGGGCCCAAGTATGAGATCCTAAATTCAAGGTCCAGTCTCTCTCTCCTCTCTCTCTCTCTCCCCCCCTCTCTCTCTCTTTCTTATACACACACACACACACACACATTTACTAGTATCCCTAATGTGTATTTCAGAAAACTAAGAGGAAATTCAAAGTACCTACTTTTTTTAGTTAGTTTTATTAGTATACCCTCACTGAAAAGTTAAAAAAATAAAAACCAACAAGAAAAAGGAAGAACAACTCTGGCTTATGAAGTTAATATTATACTTGATGCCTTAATATAAATATTCAGTCCCTGGCATTCTGCTAATTGCTCAGAGTAGAATCATATTAGGATAAATCCAGAGTTACATTAGAAAGCTTTGTGTTTTAGTTTTATGAGTACAAGTTAAAGGACTGCCAAATCCCTCATCAAATTTTTTTAATAAGGCACAGTCCTAACAGAAAACCTCAGAGATAAAGTCCAAGGACTTGAATGCTTTTTAATGTCAAAGAGAAGAAGAAGTCTGAGAGAGGAACTAGGTGAAGGAGGAAGAGGAAGGTATGTGTGCATTTAGCATTTTGAGGAAGAACAAGACCTTTGCTCTCCTAAGCCTTCCCCCAGAAAACTCACACTGGAGAGAGGCCAGGAAAGATCTTCCGCAGGCACGTGCCAATGTGTGCCAGCACATCACTCACGTCTTCTGGAGATGCCATCTTCATGGAAATGTTGCATTTCTCAGTTTCCACAACCATCTGCAACAACAAGGTGGGATACTTCTTAATAAGGAGTCTAATCTCTTCCTTTCGGAATGTTAAACATGGTAAATGATGCAGTCACACAGAAATACACTATTACAATAGCAACTTTTCAACAAGCACTTCCTTGGGTCTGGGTGTGGTGGCACAGGCCTACATTCCAGCACTCAAGCAAGAGGATCTTGAGTTTGAGCCCAGCCCAAACTATAAAGCAAGATCTTGACTCAAAAATACAAATGTTATTTTTTAAAAAGGAAGTAGATGCCCAGTGCCAGTGCCCAGCTACTTAGAAGACTGAGATCAAGAGGGTTATGATTCTGCCCAGCCCAGGCAAAAAAAAAAAAAATCTGAGACTCCAATGTCCAAAATAACCAGGAAAAGGCTGAGCTGGAGTCATGGCTGCATCATGAGTTATTAGCTGTGCATGCAAGCCAAGTAAGCATGTTGGGATTATAGGTGTCGGCCACTATACCTGGCTTAATTCTTCCTTATTTTTGAGACTATCTATGTGACCTCATTCTCAGTAGTTTTTGGTCTGAGTTAGTCTTTGCCTAGCATTGAACCTGATGTGACAGTTTATTACTCTGCTATTTTAATATATTCCTTTCTACATATCTCCTCTTCTTAGGAAGGTTGAAGTTTTCATAAACCCTTGATTTTTCCTTTGCTCCCAGGCAAAATAATAATAACTTTCATTTAAACATTTTACACCATTTTTTATCTTTGAAAAATGTGGATTCTTTTTTTAAATGAAAGTAACATATTGTCCTAAGGTATTCACAGGAAGACATAGGCATACACTAGAAAGCAGGAATATGAGAGATGTTGTTGAGACTCCTTCTCAGGAGAAAGCCTTGGTGAAAATAATATGTGAGGAGGAGGTCAATTTGAATCTACCAGTTTGGCCTTTAGAAACATCTGCTTCAGTTTTCAGATGTTTCTAATACGCTCCTACTCTCTACCTATGTGGAAGAATCTTCAGAGAGCTGTAAACTAGCAGGCACTTTAAGGAAATGCTTCTACTTTGGGGAGGGTGGGAGAAAGAGCAGAAGTGAGATTTGATTCCTTGAGTTCATGAAACCCTCATATCAACTCATCTTTTTAGCTAGGCACAGCAGTGCACACAAATCATTCGAGCTACATGGAAACTGTAAATAGAAGGATTATGGTCCAGGACTACCCAGTATAATTGAGACCTATTCAAAAAAATAATTAAAGCAAAAAGAGCTGGAGGCATGGCTCATATGGTAGAGCATCCACCAAAGCAAACACAAAGCCCTGAGTTCAACACCCAAGGTTCCACCAAAATGTAAATCAACCTGAAGAGGAGAGTAGGTCACAAAAGGGACAGGTTGATGATGGATACATTTTCATTTTTTTAAAAATCCATGTTAATTGCTGTTTTCAAAAACAGATGGCATTATCTTGATTCTAAAAGTATGCTAATTATGCAAATGCAGACATCTTGGATTATGACTCCAACAAAATATTCTCACACATTTCAATCTTGTTTTTACTTAACACAAAAACACTATGAGGGAACAATATATGTACAATTAAGCAGTTCCATGAACAGTATATATACAATTAAGCAGTTCCATGAATAAATCACCTTTTACAGTCTGCTTTAGATCTTCCTAAACTGAGCCAAACTAAAGCTATCTCTGAACCTATTTATGTTAAAAAGAGAAAGTAATGCAAGGTATTCGTCACAAGGATGAGACCAAAGTATAAGGTCCTACCAATGTTACTTTGTCATAGGATACCCTAGAGGAATTTGCCAGCATGTATTTCAAAATATTGCCTCTACATCAGTTAGCAGTGCCAAAGAAAGAGAGGGGAGAGGAGTATTATATTCTCATTTTTAACATTCTATAAGACATTAGTGTAAAAGCCTTTAAAATTATCTAGGCAAAGTCTGCATTTGTCTTCTATAGGGTAATCTACGGGATTCATAAAACTCTACTCCCTGAAAAAAAGCAGCAAGCACTATTGTACATGAGGGTTTATACCTGGAGGTGTTTACTAACCAACCCCATTTCCTCCCTGAGGGTTCTTAAGTCAGATCACAGCTGCTCAGAGGAGTCATGCTCATATATTCATACATACATATATATGTGCACATGCATGAGTTTATGTTGTTGTGCACTTTTGTTTTTGTGTTGGTCCTGGGCCTTGAATCAAGGCCTAAGAGCTGTCCTGCTAAGCTTTGTTTTTGTTGTTGTTGTTGTTGTTGTTATTTGTTTGGTTTTTGCTCAAGGCTAGTATTTCTATCACTTGAGCCACAGTTCCACTTTTGTCTTTTCCCTGTTAATTGGAGATAAGAGTCTACTGGACTCTTCTGCTGAGCTTGGTTTGAATCTCAATCCTCAGATCTCAGCCTCCTGAGTAGATGGGATTACAGGTATGAGCTACCACTGGTACCTGGCAACATGCATGTTTATAAGAGCCAGATAAACAGATCATCAAGTCTGTGCTTGACACCTCCACCTCCAATCTTCCCTCCTGGGGTAATTATATTTTCACCACAGGGTACTTCTATATTTTTCACATCCAGTGTACATCTATTCAGTTCATAGTTTGTGTGCAGGGAATTAGTAATTAGCTTATTCTAATTCTGCTTAAAATCTTAACACATAATCATCCCTAATTGTACAGGATTGAATGGAATGACAGGGAAGAGAAAAGGTGACAGGTTGGAGAAGAAATGAGGCCTTTGAATTCAACATTATGTGAGAGCAGTCACAAAAGCCCTGGCTAAGATGTCACCACCTTTGCATAATGTAAAGAGCTCAAACAAAGCCACAGAGGTAGAATCCACATGATACATCATGGGGGTTGGGGGGGAGTGGAGGAGGAAGAGGAGGAGGAGGAGGAGAAGGAGGAGGAGGAGGAGGAGCAGGAGAAGGAAGAAGAGAAGGAAGAGGACTCTTAGTCAAATACCATTTTCCCTTCTTTCTCTGATGGGAAGAAACAAAAGTGTCTGAAACACTCCTTAATTTTATCTGGAAGTATATGTAGGTTGCAGCATGCTTGATCTCCAATACCATAAAAAATAAACACAATTAAAATTAGAATGATAACCAGATATAAGGCATAGTATCTTATTAATGATTCAAACTTCCAATTCCATTCCACCTTTTTTAAGCTAGAAAACCTGACTAAATTTAACAGGCAGCATTTTTTAAAGCCAATCCCCAGTCCGATCTATGAGGTTTCTTTTCTCTAGTGGAAACAGGAAGTGGTGGCTAACCTGTACCACTCCATGACACAGCAAACAATCCAACTTTATAGATGGAAGGGGAAAAGCAATACCAAAAGCAAGAGTTCAGCTGCACAAGAAACAATCTTAGCTATTCGGTAATTATAAATCTATGTTACTCCTGGCCTCTATTTACTAACCATGAATAAAACTGGAGGACCTGAGCATTTCATTCACACACAATCCAATGAGGCTATGTTCTGGGAAAATTCCCTGAATTCATAAACTGTAACTGGAGATAAAAATAGCAATGACCAAAACATTAATAAATCCCAGACAACATTAGCAATGCAATACTAATAGATAGCAAGTACCACAGACAGATGCTATTATCTGTATAAGAGTTAATCACAACCAAAGACTCCGGGAACCTGAGGCTAGAGAGGTTACTGGTTCTCAACCCTTAGAACACAGAGAATAAAATAGTGCATTTAAAATAGTGAATATTTAATAAATATATATTTACCAAATATTTGTCAAATCTATGTCTCTCTGTGTGTGTATGTATGTATGTGTGTATCTACTGGAGACTTAGTGAATCCTAATTTTCTGGTGTCATACTATGTATGTGTACTGTGAATGTGGAAAGTAGAGGTGAGGGTACGGGATGGAGACTGGCCTGAAACTGTGATCCTTCCATCTCTACCTTCCTAGTTCCAACTAGCTGGAATTACAGGGGTAAGCCCCTATCAAAGCTATTGTGGGGCTCAGGTAGGCTACTTTCTACCCAGTCTCTCTGAATGGTAGGAGGAGCTAGGACCACTAAAAGTGATTAAGATCCATTCCTGTAACCACTTGGGAGAATGTTGTGTTATCAATATCTTTTCTCATAATACAAAGGTCTGAATATAGATGCCAGTACTGGGACTTAAATGCAAGGTCTTGAGCTCTTGCTTCACACTGTTATTTTGCTCATACTTGGTGCTCTATTACTTGAGGCACACCTCCACTTCTGGCTTTTTTACTGGCTTTTCTACTGACAATGAAAGTCTCTCAGATTTGTCTACCTGGGCTAGCTTCAAACCTCAATCCTCAGATCTCAGTTTCCAGAATAGCTAGGACTACAAGTGTTAGCCATTGGCACCTGGCCCTGATCACACTTTGAATATAACCTTAACATTAGCATCTCACCAATTCCTTCTGATCCTGTCTCAATCCCCAAATAATAAACATAAACATTTCTGAATTAAGACTCTGGTTACATCTATTATGCCATCATTCATGAGTACTCATTCTACATATGTTTGACCATTTGGGCAAGTATATGTTATCATGATTTTTTTCCCAACTGTAGTCACTGGAGAATGATAAACACGTAGAATAAAACATTGCTCTAAGATATAATATGAAAAAGTTCCAAGATTTGTATGTCATCTCAATTGATATAAAGTGACAATTTCTAATTTTTCTTTTAGGAAAAATACTGGTAAACCATATATTCAAATACACTTTTTTTATAGTTCTAGAAAGCAAAGTAAGAGGTATAAGAAACAAAATAAAGATACAAAATGAATTGATAAAATGGAAAAAAATCCATAAAACCCCAAAGAAGATTCTTTTTTCTTTTGAGCAGATGAAGAAAAGGGGTAAGCTTCTAACAAAACTAAGAGAAGCCGGGCACTGGTGACTCATGCCTGTAATCCTAGCTACTCAGGAGACTGAGATCTGAGGATGGTGGTTCAAAGCCAGTTGCAGGCAAGAAAGTCCATAAGACTCTTATCTCCAATTAACCACTAGAAAACCGGAAGTAGTGCTGTGCCTCAAGTAGTAGAGCACTAGCCTTGAGCTGAAGAGCTGAGGGACAGGGCCCAGGCCCAGAGTTCAAGCCTCACAAACAAAAAAAAACAAAAAAACCCAGGAAAATAGAAAATCAAATTATCATTGTCAGTAATGATATTCTACAGATCTTAAGAGAATAACAGTTGGATACCATAAACTATTTTGTATTCATAAATTCAACAACTTATATAAAACACAAATAACCAAAGTATGTTCAAGAAGGAGAACATGAATGAATGAATCTCCTACATACCTATGAAAGAATCAGAATTTCTCCAGGTGTGGGGGCGCGCACCTGTAATCCCAAACTCAAGAGGCTGAGTCAGGTGGTTCATGGCCAGCCTGGCTACACAATAAGATCAGACTACAGAGTGATTCATTGTCTTAAAAGAACAAAGGCTGAGAGTGAAGATTACTGGTAGAACACTGAGCTTTGGGCATATCTCACAAGACATTTAGGAGCAAGATACCCATGGAGGAGTATGTCTCAACAGCAATAGACAAGAAAAAGAAAGAAAAGCCACACACACTGAAAATAAAAAGTATGTACATTCACAAATGGCACCATCACTGTAGAAAGTGATGATCATAAAACCACTAGGTAATATGAGCAGGATGCAAGACCAATACACAAAAAACAGCTATATTTCTAACATCAGCAAGAAAAAATTCAAAGTTGAACTTGAAAGAAAGTACCAATCAAAATACGAAATACAAGTAAAACTGACAAAAGACATACACTGAAAGCTATAACAAAATACTGTTAAAAGATATTAAGACCTACATAAATTAAATACATATAATTGTACTTGTGTATGTATACTTATATGTGTATATGTATGCACAGGTATGCATACACATACAGATTTCTGGGATCAGAAGACTCCATATTATAAAGATGCCAGTTTTCCCCAAGATGATCAGTAAATTCAATGTAATCCCAATGAAAATCCCAGCACTTTGTGCAGGCACTGAAGTGATTCTAAAATCCAGGCAAAATTGCACAGGTCCTAGAATCACTACAACTATTCCTAAAAAGAATGAAGTCAGAGGACTAGCACCAGTGGCTTCAGGTCTTACTATAAAGTTAAAGTTATCAACTTTATTGTGGTAGTGGCATAAAGACAGACCACAGCCGCAGGATTTCAAGACTAAAAGCAGATCCATACTTCAGTGGACAACTGATTCATCCAAGGGAAAACTAAGTTCAGTAAGAAAACAATAGACTTCCCAACATATCACACTGGAACAAGTAGGTATCCTCTACAGATACAGAAAATTTTTTAAAAAATTTAACTTTGATCTATACATTGCTTTACACACAAACATTACGGTAAGACAAGAGCTTAGAATGTAGGATATTTAAAAGATAACAAACATTCTTTATAACATTCTATATAAACAGCATACAAAATAAAACAGCACTCAGCAAACAAGGGGAATAACTATTGAGACACGCAACAGAATTGATCAATATCAGAATAATTAAACTGAATGAAAGAAGACAGACAGGAAAGAGTACAGTACACGACATGATTCCATCCAAATACAATTTTAGAAAATGCAAGCTACCCTATAGTGATAGAAGGCAGATGTCTTCTGGATAGATACAGTGTTTCTAAGGTGTACTAGGAAACTTCATGGATATACCTAGGACAAAAGTGATTAATTTACACTCCACTGCATTTACTTACAACTCAATTGTTTTTAATACCCAAAAAAACTCACTTATCACTATATTCTAAGAAAAGACCTTACACAGTACTGTATCACTGCTATGTAGCTTTAGTATTAAATGAAGTTTTACAAAATCTCTCACATTTACATCACCAGCTGGCATTAGAGCTAATCCATTCTCTTCAGGGATGTATGTTCTTTATTGGAACAAATTCACAGCCCTGTCCACACATAGCCTCTAACTGAGTCATTCCCCAAGTTCCACTTTCCCCTTGTAACAAAAGAAAAGAGGCTTCCTCCTTTCAAGAAAGGAAGAAAGATGGTGACATACAGCGACAGGTTTCTGGGGTTCACACTCACCTGAGCTGGCTTGCTACAGATGACGCCATGAATCTCCAGGTAGCTGAAGGTTAGCTCGAGCTGTAATTGAAGGGAGAAGGGGAAATAGAAGCCCATAATGAACATTCAAAACATATAATACAAAGTTTAAAAAAAAAAAAAGCTGTAATTAGAAATGGTCTGAGGGCAAATAAGATTTGAAGGTAGGCTGGCTTAATACTGCCATCCAAGGAGATAGGACTAAAATGGATCATATCTAAGAAAAAGTAGTACTCACTGTACTAAAGTATGAGAGAGGGAGGTAAGGTGCATGCCTGACCTTGTAGATTCATCCAGGGACAAACGTAATTCAACAGGTTTTGTACCTGAAATCCACCATTTAAATTCTGAGGAAATGAGCTATCCAAATACACTTTTCCCCTTTTTACTGTTGCTTCCAAAGGTTTCATTAAAAAAAAAAAAAAAAAAAAGTCACTGTAGTTTGCCCCTTCCTCAGCTCTTACAGATTTGTGTAACATGCTGATGACCTACCTACCTATTGGAGTCATTCTTGCTCTAGGGCTTGTACAAAATTTCATGTTTTGAATAGATTTAGCCCAATACAATATTGGAGAATTTGAAAATATATTTAACTGACAGTGACAAGTACACAGTCAAATAAAACTCCACTTTCTCTGTATGTAATTAAATGATAAGTTCTGTTATTTATTTATGTACTTATTTATTTTTGCAGTGCTGGCAATCAAGTCAATGCTTTTCACATATACTCCACCACTGAGCTACATCCTTAGGGCTACTTTCTATTTTACTAAATTTCCCTTCTTCTCTTTTGCTATAATCAGCAACTGCTTTTCCATCAAAATATCCTCCATGCTTCCTCCTTTGTCTATTTGCCTGATCAGTAGCCACCAATCTTTGTCTCACTTCAGCACAATCACAAAGCATGACACTAAAGAAAACCGGTGACTGAGTTGGATTGTTTTCCCTCTTGTGTTAAACCTAAAAATATGCAGATTGTCCCTTGGTATTCCTGAGGGATTCCAGAATGCCTTAGACTCCTTGGGATATTAATATATGCAACTGTGCCAGGCCCTCATATAGGGTGCAGTAGTTGTATATACACATCCTCCAGTGTAGTATAAGTCATTCTAGATTACTTGCAATGCTTAATACAATGTAAATGGTTACTTAGTATACTTAGTAAGAGATAATGACCACAAAAAGGTCCATAAAGAGGTCATTTTTAGAAATGGTTTCTCTTTCTGTTAACTGAGTTTTCAGGGGTAAAGCCTACCAAAACAGAAGGTCAACTGCAATAATTTAAAAAGAAAACAAGAGGAGTTAGGAATGAGGCTTAGTGGTAGAATGCATCCCTAATATTCATGAAGCCCTGGGTTCAATTTCTCAGCACCACATAAACAGAAAAAGCTAGAAGTGGCACTGTGGCTCAAGTGGTAGAGTACTAGCCTTGAGCAAAAGAGCCCAGGCCCTGAGTTCAAGCCCCATGACTGGCAATAAATAAATAAATAAATAAATAAATAATAACAAGAGCCAGGTGTTGGTGGCTCATGCCTATAATCCTCCCTATTCAGAAGACAGAGATTTGAGGATCCCAGTTGGAAGCCAACCCAGGAAGAAAAGCCCCATGAAACTCTTATCTCCAATAAACTACTCAAAAAACGGAAGTGCTATGGCTTAAGAAGTAGAGCACTAGCCTTGAGCACAAAGAGGCTCTGGGACAGCACACAGGCCCTGAGTTCAAGCCTCACAACCAATAAAAACAGCCAAAAAAATAAAAAAAGAACAAGAGCCAAAGCCACAAACGGACTTAATTCTGCACCCTTATTTATAGTGTATTGACATTAAAAAAAAAAAAAAAAGGAACAAAAAAATCTGCAGTTAGACCTTTAGAAACATGACAAGACCTTGGAAATGGAAAAAGAATCTGTTCTGGTATTTACTTAGTCAACTGGCAGACATTTGTGGGAAGCCTACTATGTACCAGTATGGGATACTGAAAGAGGAATGAGACATATATTTTGTCCTATGAGAGTTAAATGCAGCCTTGAAGGCACATATTTTAAAACATTCAATTAGTTTCCTTACCTATTATTACCAAGATCTATACTTGGCTTAGTTTTGAAAAGTCATTTAAAGGAGGGAATCATTTTCTAAAAGTTAGACACACCCACTTTCATTATTTTCACTTTCAGCTCATAAAATGCATTCTCATTTGTCATTCTTTTTATAGCCCTAAAGTTTTTCTTTGAGTTGCCCTTGCTAATGGCCTTTCAGTGGCCTTCCTCTATGAGCCAACCCACAGTCCAGGGCTCCTAGACCCCAATTCAAGTCTCTTTAGATATGGACTGAGAATGCAAAGGCACTTGCTAGGCAAGCTGGGGGCAAAAGTTTTTCCAAGTCATTATGTTTCTCACCCTTTCCTCAAATTTTAATCATCATATAATGCTAAAAGGGAACAACTTTTTCTAAATAATTTACTTATTTCAATATTCAATGTTTCATAACATTGAGATACCACCTCACCCCAGGTAGAATGGCTATAATCAAGAACTCTAACAACAACAGATGCTGGAGGGGATGTGGACAGAAGGGAACCTTACTGCATTGTTGGTGGGAGTGTAAACTTGTTCAACCACTTTGGAAAGCAGTATGGAGGTTCCTCAAAAGACTTCACATAGAGCTCCCCTATGACCCAGCAATCCCACTTTTGGGCATTTACCCAAATGTTTACAAACAAGACCACACTAATGCTACCAGCACAACTATGTTTACTGCAGCATTATTTATCATAGCTAAGATATGGAACCAACCCAGATGCCCCTCAGGAGATGAATGGATCAAGAAAATGTGGTATATATACACAATGGAATTCTATGCCTCCATCAGAAAGAATGACATTGCCCCATTTGTTAGGAAAGGGGAAGGCTTGGAAAAAATTATATTAAGTGAAGTAAGCCAAGCCCAAAGAAATATAGGTCCCATGGTTTCCCTTATTTGCAATATCTAGTATATGTATAAGTCAAGCAGGAAAGGTCAGATAATGTGATGTTAGGAAAATAAACCCTTAGATATGTATTTAAATGTTTTTTTTCTTTCATGCATTTGTTTCTAACTCATTTATAATATTATTTCTTTGTAGCTTTGCGTGTCCCTCCCCCACAGTATAACCCCTGCTTTCACTATATTTGATCTCAGTATAATTTGTGGAGGAGATGGGGGAAAACAAGTTGTTTAAGGATACAGGTGGACCCGATGCAACTATGAGAAGTACAAGTTGTCATGTCAAAAACGAACTTTACAACTTTGGTGCGGGGGGGAGGGGGGGGTGATTGGGTGGGGGGAGGGGGGAGGCTGGGAAGGGATGTGAAGGGTAAACAAAGGAGGAGGCTGCAATGCTTGATAAGAAATGTACTCATTATCTTGCCCATGTAATTGTAACCCCTCTGTACAATATGTTCACAAAAAATTAAAATTTAAAAAAAAATTCAATGTTTCATAGACACATCTCATTGTACACATATATCATTGCTATTGAAATGTCTTTCACTTAAAAAAGGACATTTACTACTGTAAATGAGTCTGGAAATAAAATAAATCATTGCTGCTCAGAGAGGGCATCTCATTAACAGATAGAAGCAGGTTCAATCAGGTACATTTTCTTTGTTTGTTTGCTTTTGCAGGTGCTGGGGCTTGAACTCTGGGCCTAAACACTGTCCTTGAGTTCCTTTTGCTCAAGGATAGCACTCTACCACTTGAGCCACAGTGCCACTTCCAACCAAGTACATTTTCTTATAGCTGGCAATCATAAATACACAGCTGGCATCAGTCAGTATCATCAGGGATAAAAATGGACACACCTAGTTGATTTAGCTTGTTGAAGTTAGTTGGAAGTCAATTCAAATGCTTCCACTGAGTCAAGCATGTTAATCCCAACACTTGGTAGGCTGAGGCAGGAATGTCATGAGTTGAGGCCAGTGGGCTACAAATGAATCCCTGTCTCAAAAGAAAAAAAAATTAAATAGCTTGTTATCCTGTACAAAGGGTCTTCACTAGAGAGCCAGGAAAGACTGGTAACATTTCAGTAGGCCATGAAAAAGACTTGAAGAATAACTTCAAGTTTCATAAGCAAGCAGGGCTAAAGAATTTGCAACTGCATAAAACACTAAAAGAGCCAGACCAAAACAGAAAGTGAAAAAATAGAACCTGTAGGTTCAGCAATCAATAAGCAATGACTGGCTCCTTCTGTGATTAGTCAGGGTTCTGGATTATTATTAGCAGTGCAAAGGGCCGTCCCTAAGACACCCTGAAAGGCATCGCAGCAAGGTTCAGGTGATTCTCCCATCTTCACCCATCAGGCCTTGACTCCCAGTCCTTGATACCAGCCCACCCCGAGACAGTCTGAAGAACACCATGAGGTTAGATTTATAGACAAAAGCAGACGGGAGGACTAGTTAGGAAGCTGACAGAGGTGCAAATAGCATGAAGAAGAACTGAGGACATTTTAAGCTCAGAACTAAAGATACTATTGATTGATTAGATAACAGGAAGGAATTAACTAGATTGCTTTTCCAGTCTTATATCAACCTACTCCAACCTGTAGCAAGCCAGTAACCATCCCCTCCAGCTGCAGAGCAACTCTAAAAGTCTTCACATAGGGGTCTATAGCAACTTCACTATTTCACAGGCAGTAGTTCATGCTGCAACTCCCCATTTGGGGCTAGGTCCTGCCTACTTTCCCAAGCTTCTCCCTCTACCACAGCTTCCTCCCCAGCCTCGGCCTGCATGCCAGCTTCCCAAATGCTTGGTGCTCTTTCACACTGCTAAACCTTTGCCTAGTTTATCTGAAGTGATCCTTTAATCTAGATTGTCTACAAACCCTCCTTTGAGCTGTTCATTACCCCCACCCCAAAGCACAGTTAGGGTCTTTGGGTGGTGGCAAGGCTCTGTTTCTTCATCTGGCTGTGCCTACAGGGCTATTCCTTTTGTGAGTAATTACTGAGATGTGTATCTGTGTCTTACACATTGTTATGCATGTGGGATCACCTCCTATCTACACTGAAATATAAAAGAGAACATGCCCCACTTTTCATAGAACTTTAAACCAAAGAAAAACATAAAATTGTATTAATCAACACCCATAAAAAAGAGAAGCTACGTATATGATGATCTGTGCCTATTTTATATTAATGCTCTGAGTGTAATTATTTGCCCAGAGAGTTCATATGACTGGCACTGGTTTTACATCCCAGCCAAGCCTTACCCTGATACATGCAAACCAGCCTTCTCTAAGGGGCAAACCTGGAGGCAGATCACTCTGAATCAAAATCTACATTTCTTATTCATGATCCTGACACTCTGAAAAAGCAGAAGTAATGTTGAACCTTCTCTAGCCAGTTCAAAACTGAGTCTCTCCTCAGGGATAGATCAAAAGGAAAAGATGAGATCCCCTCACAGGAAGGGCAGGTGACATGTCAAATCTTCTGCAATGGAGCACGTCACGGGAGGGATAGTGCTGGCTTACTTCATCTCCTTACATACTACACCACTCTCAGGTATTTTAATAGCTAGATATTTGAACCAACTTCAGTGCCATTATAATAGACTTTATTCATAACACATTATATAGATTTATTTTATATTATCAAAAGGGACTGGGCAGGACACTGGTGGCTCATGTCTATAATCCTAGCTACTCCAAAGACTAAGATCTGAGGATCACAGACAGAAAAGTCTCTGAGACTCTTATCTCCAATTAATTACCCCCCAAAAAAGCTAGAATTGTGTGGCTAAAATGATAGAGTGCTAACCTTGAGTTCAAACTAAAGGACAGTACCCAAGTCCTGAGTTCAAGCCCCAGTACAAGCAAAGAGAAAGAAAGAGAGAAAACGAGAGAGAAAAAACACTTGGAACAAAAAAAAAAAAAAAAATGTTCATTGGAGAATTTTTTAAGAGTTAAAATGTGTAGTAAAGGTGGAGAGGGAAAGAGGGAGAAAAATGAAAATGAGGGAGGAGATAATAAGTTAGACAATAAATGTACTCACTACCTTACTTATGTAGCTGTAACCCCTCTATACATCACCTTGACAATAAAATTAAAGAAAATAATTTTTCAATAGTTAGAAAAAAGAAAAAATGTGTAGTAAGGCTCAAAAAAGTCATGAAAAAAATATCTATTTCTTAAATATGTAGTTGGTGAGGCAGTTCAACTCGGCAAAAAGTGGAAAGAGTAGGACTGGGTAAATCTAATATCTTTCTCTCATTTGTTACTTGTGAATTTTTATGCATGTCAACTTACCAATCATGGTTCCTGCAAGAACAATGAAATGATGTACTTTGAAAATTCTTATAGGCAATTCATTAAGTTCAGGTAATAACACTGTAGTTAAACTGGACCTTTACAGCCAAACTCTTCAACAATTAGAACCATCCATATATCCTAATAGTGGAAGTATAACCATAAGCAAGTTACTGAACATCTCTCTGCCTCAGTTCTCCCATCTGTACAATGGGGAGGAGAATAGAGTCCATATTATGGTTTTCAGAAGATTCTTTTAAAGATTAAATTGTATACTAATTGCTATTAAATAATTCTCAATAAATTTTATTTATCAATCATATCTTTAGGGGGAAAAAATCTCTGTATTCTGTTCCATTTTGTCAATATAAAAATGATCAACCTCTTTTGGCTACTGTAAACAAAGGGGAGCCATAATTATGCCTCTTTCAGAAACTATGAACTCAGACCACTTGAAATAAAAGGCAACTCGTGAAAATTGCTAAATAGAGCTTTGCAGAACAGAACAATTGCCATGTTCTTTTTCATAGACAACTCAGAGGGCAGGAAGAAGGGGCTGCTGTAGCCACCGTTCTGTAGTGCATTCTTCAGAACTATGAAGGTTATTTCCTACATGTCAAAACCTGAGAAGAATCTGCCATTTAGTGGAACTGAAGGAAACAGTTGATTTTAAACAATGCAAACCAAGCCCCAGAAGAGGAAAAGAGGTACTGCCTCGTGGACCAAAAACACAAAATGTTCCATCACTTTTCTTGGAAAGCCTTTACACAAAGAAAGGGCAAAAGCAGTTTAAAAAAATGTCATCATAACCTTTAGAAGCTTTGTGGAAAAGAAGAAAAGGCAAGTGGACTTAGAGAACTCTTACCTAAATCATTAAGTCGACAAACTGAAGTATGAATATGTATTATGAGTATTTGTGTGTGTGTATGATGCAAGTACGCATGTATGTGTGATGTGTGATGAGTCTGTGTGAGCATGTATGTGTATGCATTTCAATGTGCACTAAACCTGAGTGTCAGTATGCATGAGTGCATGTGTATGTAGGTATGAGCCTGAGTGTATGTGGGGAGTGTGTCTGTGTGTCTATGTGTGTGTGTGTGTGTGTGTGTGTGTGTGTGTGTGTGAGAGAGAGAGAGAGAGAGAGAGAGAGAGAGAGAGAGAAAGAGAGAGACAAGGGGGGGGGGGAGGAGATAATACCTTTACTACTTACCTTAGTAGGGATTCGAGCTGTGACAAGGAAGGCTCGGCATGATGTAAGCACCTGTAAGAGAAAAGCAGCAGCAGCACAATCAGTACCAAAAATGAGCCTTGCTGGTAAGGATTGGAATGATACTGAAGCCTCAGAAGCCTCGATCTCATTGTTGTGCCTGGGTCATGATTCAGTATCACAATATGGCTTGACTCCTGCTGTGGAAGAAAAATAAGTGACCTAAGATGGCATCTTGGCTCTTTATCATGATCCATATTGAACAAATCACACATGAAATCTCAAAGAGAGAGACAGCACCTATGATAGTAAAATAGTTATCTTCTGTATATAAACAAGCCTCACTCCACTCACTACATCAATGGCAAACTTCACCAAAAAATAAAAAAAAAAAAAAGCTTAATCCTTGGTCAACCTTTATACTCTCAGGACTTCAGCTGACAACACTTGCTGCAAGGCAGCAAAATCAGCCTCCACACCCAAGAGATCTTTTCTGTCTTTGCTTCTCAGTTGTGTCTAAAGAACATTTGTGGAAGTTTCCTTTCTGATACTCAGCTAGTAACATTTAGGCACCATAAGGTATGACATGCAGAGAGGTACTCTTTACCCTCCACAGACCTCTGTGAATACAAAGAAGCTGACTTAAGAGTTTTGACATTAAGCAGGGATTACACATCTACCTCCTCACTGTCCAAAATTGCCTCACTAACATCAGCTGACAGCTGATGAACTTGTATGATTGATTGATTGATTGATGATTATTTTGATACTGTAGTCAGTCAGGGCTTTGCACTGGCTAGGCAAGTGCTTTACCAACTGAGACATATCTCCACTCCTTTCCACTTCCGTTATTTTTCAAATCAGATCTCACTTTTTACCCAGGGGCAGTCTCAAACCACGGTCCTCCTACTCATTCCTCCAATGTAACTGGGATAATAGTTGCTCACCATCATATTCAAGTTGTTTGTTGAAATGTGTGGTCTCCTTAACTTTTTCCTAAGTCTGGCCTTGGACTATTATCCTCTGTATCTTCATCTTTCTAGCAGCTAGAATTACAGGTGTTCCTCACTGAACCCAGTATACTAATTAGCTTTTGAAGTAAAGTTTCAAAGGGAGGGGCTGGGAAGGTGGCTCAGTGGTAGAGGGCTTGCCTTGTATGCATGAGGCCCTGGGTTCGATTCCTCAGCACCACATAGGCTGAAAAAGCCAGAAGTGGCAGAGCCCAGACCCAGAGTTCAAGCCCACGACTGCAAAAAAAAAAAAAAAAAAAAAAGTTGCAAAGGGAGACACTGAAACATTTCAAGTCCTGATAGGACTATTGTCTTTACCCATCTTCCAAAGAACTTTCTTTTCATTAAATCCCTATATAGCAGATGAGACTTCATACTAGTCTCAAAATGAAAGACTTGAACAAAACCTTCAAAATTTTCAGGCCAAAGACATTTAGGCCTAAAACTTGAGAGGAGGGGGGAGAGGATTCTAGGTCTTACTGCTCGATCCAGGCCTTGAACTGCTAATGTAAAACCAGCAAGTGAATTAACAGGTATGCTTCGGTGAGCTGGCTTCGTCTCTCACTCTACAATCTCCAAAACCAGACAGAAACTTGAAATGTTTTTTTTGTTTATGTCTGTCTGTCTACTACTAACTCATCTTTGAATACACTGGTGCCCTCTATAGGAGAAAACTCAATTCAAGCCAACTTATGATACAGATAACAAAGGCATGCTTGGGTATGAAAGAAAATATATCATTTTTTTTCTCCTAACAAAAGGGAGTCATTCCAAGAAGGTATCCCTGGCTCTTCCCTATCTCTCTATTTCCTGGCTACCATGAGGTAAGCAGCTCTGCTCCACTACTTCCTGTCCACCATGATGCTCTGCCTCACCACAGGCCACTACTTCCTGTCCACCATGATGTTCTGCCTCACCACAGGCCCCAGCAATGAGGTCAAGCAACCAGGAGCCACTATAATTTTTTTCCTTGTAAGTTGCTTTTCTCAGACTGATAGAAAAGCTAACACAATAGGCAAACATATAGACTTCTCACAACAACTATGTATGATACCTACTGAGACTCCATGATGACAGTCCCTCAAGGTCATACAATAGCTCTGTCAACTCCAAACCCTATGTTCTTAACTACTAGTCTACATTTCCATATTATGACTCAATTCTATCTCCATATGCTCTCTGCCTTAGCGCAGATGCTAAAGACTCATTGTAGGAAAGGATATCACCTAGTACAGTATAGGACTTTGGGTGACTTACAAAGCTTTCAGCTCAATGGGTAACTTCCTCAACATTCCAAGAATTAGTTTTTCTAAATTCTCTTCATATATAAATATACTTGAAAGCTAGACTCTCTTATTATCTGTACTAGCCAACACTTGGTAATGGTAACACTACTCAGGAAATTAAGAGTTTGGCCCCTTCTTTGAAGGAGCAAGAAAAATGTGTTACATGAGCCACACAGGACCCTAAGCAGGGTCCAACAGTAGAGGAATGACAGTAATAAAGAGGAATTTGGAGAAGGAAATAAAAAGGAGCCAGAGACGGGCATGGGCAATGTTGTCATTTGCTTAGGCCCAAAAAACAGGTCACCAATGACTTCATTACAAGATCAGAACTCATCTTAAAGGATGAAATAGCTGGCTTCCCAGAACTATAACCCATGCTCTGAAGCTCACTAAGAGTTTTATATTTCAGTCCGTCCCAGGGATCTATAACTCTCTTTCAATCACTGCCTCTCCCCCAGGGAAATAGGAGAAGAAAAGAGAAAACGTTGACAGCCACAATCGCAGGCAAGGTAACCAGATTCCTACCCACTCTCACTACTCCCCCTCCTCATTCACAAAGCAGCACCCACACTTCTCTCGTCCAGGATTAACTCTCTATGCACTCCCAATCCTTTCCAAGAACTTAAGTCCACAAACTTCTACAGAGCCAAATCATAAAGCTCACATGCCAGAAAGGTCTCAATAGCACTTGGTCAAAGACCCAAAACCCCCACATTTATTATAATCTGAGAGCAGATCCAGAAAAACTCCATCTCATGGCAGCTAGTGGCAGAGCCAGGACTAGAAGCTGCAAGCTCTTACTCCCAGTCCATCTTCCTCTCTCTCACCTCAGTGAGAGTCAAGGCCAAAGGCTCCAAATAGAAACATATAAACTCTTCAGCATTCAGAAAAATATCTTTAGCTCTGAGAACATTCCTTCAGAGGAGAATTGCTCCACAACATTCAGAATCATTTCCAAGCCAATTCCTGTCCCATACACTTTTAATAGGTTTGCATGAGTTACCTCATTTATTTCTCATACAAACTGTGGGATACTATCATCACCCTCATTTTAGGATGAAGATTATATAACCTGTGCAGGTCACTCAGTAAGCATGTGACAGAACAGGAGTTCTATCCAACAGAGTCTGGCTCCAGAGATAGTATTCCCAGTTATGTACACTGGCTCTTAAATCTCTCCTTGCCAAGGGCCAGATTCCTCAGTACTTCTACTCTTACAAACATGGATCCAGCAAAGAACTTGAAAGTCAGAAGGAAGCAATCATAAATAAGATCATCACAGGATGAGGAATGCTTGGGGACCATAAGGAAAAGGTTAATCTGTCTGTCTTCCTCTTTTTCCTATCATCCACTGGTTTCAGTAACTGTCTCTGTGTGTTTTTGTCTTTGTTTTGTATTTATCTACCCGAGTCTATGTGTATCTCTAAGTCGGTGTGTTTCCACACAGGCTCCTCATCCTCCCCCCAGACCATTTCCCTTTAATAGTAAAGCCACTCTTTCTACCAAGTCCCCTTCAACATGCTCAGTGTCCTTCCTTGGTACCCTTCTCCTGTCCTCCACGTCCTTTTTTCTATAGGAATCACTAGAGAGCTTGGATTTCATTTATAAAAGTGCAAGAGACACCACACGCTAGCCACAGAAGAAATCATTCTGGATGATCATCTCATCTGTAATACAGTCACACAGTCATGAACAAAACATGAACTAAAACTGACAAGGCACCTTTTGACATCATTATACAATGGAGCACATGAGTAATTAAGTGATTACACAGTCCCTGGAGTGAATCAAATTAATACATCTCAAAAACAAATCTCAAATCATGTACCCAAATAACAGAAATGGTGCATCCATCACCGGCATAAAACACAGGCTGGCCTTTCCATCTCTTGACAGTAGTGGAACTTGAGGCGTTAACATCCTCCTCAACCAACCAGGAACATCAGAGGACAGGCCTGCCTTCTCCTGACCTGCCCTCTCCACAAGCATCACCACAGATAGCTTCTAGGGGGCCACTGACAGGGTACTAACTGGGATCTGTACATTTAAAACAAGAGGAAGAAAAAGGAAAAACTGTTTACACAGATTCTCTTTGGAGAAAAGACCAATGTCTCTACAATAGGCAAATGTGTGAATTTCTAATGATCATGTCTGTCTCATGGTGGTGCAATAACAGTGCTTACAATCTATAGCTTGTATGTCCTGTTATATGTATGCAACATCCTTCAGAGGCTGGACATTGTCCAAAATAATTTCTTTGAAAAGAGACACTGGTGAGGGAGTCTCAGCTTAGAAAGAAGACAGATAAGCCACAAATGCTTTGTGCTTGCTGATCCCCATTTGTGAAAGCCAGCTAGAAGTCCCAAGGGCATATGGGGGTTCTTAGAAAATGTGCAACATGAGAACAGTGAAAAAGGGCAAATCTTCCAAAGTTGGCCCACCTGTTCCCAAGAGTGGCCTCAAGCCACTATATAACAAACAGTATAGCAATACTTGGATATAAGGTGAAACATGTTGTTGATCCTAGCAAAATTTTGACTCTTGCTTTATCAGTGCAAACTGAAGCAATTAATGTGGGAATAATTATACTAGAAGAACCCATCAATTCAGTCTTCCACCAACCTGGATGATTCCAAAACTATCCTAGGATTTATAGCCTTGACCAAGTGTAGAGTCCAGCAGGATGGGGGAAAATCCACAGGAAACTTCAACTCTTCCTGTTTGCCCAAGCAATTTCTAACCATGATACTGAGCATCC